TCAGTTTAGTCCATTTTGCCCCTATGCAAAAGATTTTTCATTAATTATCAAACACCCTGTATATGCTCGAAAAGGCAATTTTTCGAATTTCGATTTTTCATTTGGTGGTTAACTTGCGGTTAGGCTTAATCTGATAATAATGTAAAAATTGTATTTTTATATATAATTGTTAAAGTTATCATTACAAAATCATTAGTTTAGTGATTAACCATAGCTAGAAAAACACAACTTTTATATCATCGTCAAGTTAAATGAGATTAAGTCTAAACCACAAGTTAACCGAGTTAAAACAATGAAAAACTAGGTCTGAGAGTTAAATGCGAAAAATATAATAGAGTTAACAATGGAAAATGAAAGAAAAGTAAGTTGTGTACAGAGAATCGGACATACGTACGTAAAAAGATAGGCTGCGCATATGTATAGTCAGGGGTATAGAACTTAAGATAAAATATATGTTTAGCCAAGTCGATAATGGAATGTATGTGTACAACTTAATTGAATGAAATTAGCTCCAGACGAATTAAAGGATTCGCTAAGCGCTATCGCGAAGCATCTCGTCGTGTATCTATTGATTGTGAGGATTCAGCTGAGGTCGCCGACATTTCTTGTTGCAAGGTAGGTTTCTCGCGAGATTCCGGCGTCATCGATCCCGAGGAATACTGTATATCGTGAAACGTAGGGAACGGACGGGTTCTCTCGCGTACAGGAAACGAGAAGGAAGCCGAGCATATACGAGCAGGAAGGGGAGAGAGAGAAGAGGAATTTCGTTGAATCGCGCGATCATTGATTTACGGTGGTACCTCGTAAATACCGGCGGTGATGTACGATCGTGACCGCACACTCTCGGTCCGCACACCGCCACGAGTCTCGTATCCTTCTTTCTTCCTTCCCTCTTCCCCGCCGAGCGTCTTTTTCCTTCGTTCTTTGCCACCGACATTTCCTTTGCGGACGAGTCTCTACTTGATTTATAATACGTATTGGTCCCTTGTCTCTCTCTCCCACCGTACATGCCTCCTAGAGAATGCTTGGATTCCGCTGACCATCCTTCCTCGTG